AGTGGTATTGGGACTTTAAAGCTTAATTTCCCGTCGACGTTTTAGCGGCGTGATCCACCCAATACAGTTGACGGTGTTACTAATATAATTTACAAAGTTTAAACTAAAGATTGAGAAACGAAATTAAAACGAAACGTAATGCTTTAGTGATTGGATAATTAACGATCGCAATAAGAGGTGCTGTGGAAAGAATCGGAATGCGCCGATATTTCATCTTTAAGGATACTAATATAACTTTTGATAAGCTTTAAGTACACTGTCAAAATGGGTTTTTTCCTATAATTTTTTAACATCTTAACCCATAAGCAATTCATGATATTTTAAGCATTCATGTTTTTCATTTTTAAATACAGTCGACCAGCCCAATCTTTCAAAGTTGCGGTGGGAATCAATAAACTATCAGACGAGGGAAAAAAATATACACCTGATAAGGTGATAATCCACGAAAAGTTTGACGAGAAATTATTCACAAATGATATAAGCCTTGTAAAAATCGAATCTGGTATCGAACTTAATGATAGAGTTAATCCAGTGGGATTGCCTACAACTAACATCAATCCAGGAGATACACTGGTATTAACAGGATGGGGCAGGATAAGTGTAAGTTAAAATACAAGATCTCTATATTCATATCTTATTTTTTTAATCTTTTAACAATTCGTAGCTATGAACAGTGTTGGCCTAGTGGCTTCAGCGTGCGACTTTCATCACTGAGATCGTAGGTTCTATCCTCGGCTGTGCACCAATGGAATTTCTTTCTATGTGGAGGAAAACAGCTTGACTTAGACTCAAAAAGTCGACAGCACAGGAGACTGATCGCGTACCTGCCTATTTTGGATTGACAAATGATCATGAAACAGATATAGAAATCTGAGGCCCAGGCCTAAAAAGGTTGTGACCACACGCCACTGATTTAGTTTTAATTATTTTAAATTCGTAGTTGACCTGACATTCCAAAAACTACCTTTGCGATACTTAACTTTTCAGTAACTTCATACTGGCTGTTTACTTATGGAGTTGTCTATCTGTATTATTGCTTGTACGGTGAAAAAAACATCACAACGAAACCAGCACATCTAAGACACAAAAATTTATAGCATGTGATCACTTGATGTAAATAATAAATCTGAAGAAACTGTGTTTATTTTTGTAGCACCGAACGACGAGATATACTGTGCGATTCTTATTTATTGTTGTATATCTTTTTATAAAAAAAATAATGTAAAATGGAGCTTGACACTGGCTACCCGGGATGGGCTCCGAATGTTGCTTGAGCACAGATCGCAGCTATCAAAAATTCCACCAGCTATAGGGCTCCGACTCATAAATATCATGTGAATATTACCGGAGTAGTTGTCGCACGGACCCGGCGGGAGACGCCAAGCCTTTGAAGTAGATTAAGTCCCTTTTTTAGGAAAGGAGAGGTTTGACACACCCCTGCCGTCTAGCTTCTCAGCCTGATCGCGTACCTGATAGGCTACTGTGTGTGTACCTAAAAAACGTAAAATATGTTATTTTCAGGGGTCAGTTTTTCAGTCAGGAGGGTACAAACGACTTTTACTCAGACCAGTTGTACAGAAGTTTTTATTGTTCCATACCATTATTGCCGCGTACCACCAATATGTGGAACCAGCTGCCCACTGAAGTATTTCCAAACCATTTCGACTTAGGGTGCTTCTAGAAAAGAGTGTATCTCTTGACATTAGATGAGCCTCCTGCCCGTTGTTGTATAAAGTGTATTATGTTCAAAATGTATGTACTATTAAAGTGATCGATTCGGATTGTTTTTTTAAATGTATATACTAAGATAAGCAATTTGTTATTACAATCGTGCAACAATATCTACGCAGGCGATATCTGTTTAACATAAAATAAATTATTTACAGAACGATGGTCCGCTACCAAATAAACTTCAGATTGTTGAAGTAACTGCTATAACAACTAATCAATGCAAGATAAAATATAGCTTGTACAAACAGCCGATTACACCTAAACATCTTTGCACACGTGCGCCACCTCGAGAAGGAAGCTGTCAGGTAAAATTTGTTATTACAGAACGTCGTTCAATGGTATAACATTTTATATTATTTAAATTATTGACATAACTTTGGGAGCTTTTCAAGTCATAGATTCTTAAGATTTTAGCCTATCTTTTTTAGTTTTTAATAATATCGAATAAAAACTTTATTCATGACAAATAGGTTTTGACAAAGTTCATCTACCGCTTGTCCCCACACTAGGGAGTCCCCGTGTTGTGGGTAACTACATAACAATTATTCCGTGGTACATGTTTAAAACATTTATTATGATTTAGTACATTTTCTATTTGTTTTTAATAACTTATTGGTGTCCATTTTGAGTAAGCCAACAGTGAGAACACAGTGAGACTTTTCATAATTTTAACAATATAATAAGATGTCACAAGAACCTGAAATATTCGTTTCACAAAATGAATGGAATTAATGGAACATATCGTTCTGATGCAGACGTTTTTGACATTTACATCGCGTCAGATATGCGTCCTATCGGATTTACGAGAGTTAAGGACAGTGAACACACTTTTGTGCCGAATAATCAGCTTCCGGCATCATTAGAACTGAGGCTGGTAACGAATTTTGAATGCCACGTAGAATGGCAGACTGTTTTGTGTCAAGGCAACTCATTCGTATACTACTGTCTGTCGTCTTTAAAAAAAAAATGATTTTGTTAGTAAGTTATAATTACTAAGCGTTTTTGTATTTGATTCGAAATAAAGAAAATTAATATTGAAATTAGAATTATGATACTAAAATAATGGTACTGCGTTAAATTAAATGAAGAAATCGAAATATGTAGTAGATCTGAGTTTTTGACGACACTTTTACAGGGAGATTCTGGCGGCCCTTTAGTAAGGAATGGAACTCTTGCTGCCCTGGTTTCCTGGGGGACAAGAAGCTGTGGTCACAGCTTAGTGTCTCCCGATGTCAATACTAGAGTCTACTCTTTCGTCAATTGGATGAAAGATACGATGAAAAAGAATTAAAATAAATAAATATTTGCATTGAGTTCATATTTCTTTTAGTTCCCATTTAATTTGGTACTACTAATTTATAACAATTCAACCCTGACCCTGATTTTGGATGCTATGGTACCTGAGCGATTTATGTAGAGAGAATTTAAAAACTACAACTTTGTAATTGAAATTTAATTTGACATTATGTTATAAGTCAAGAGAAAGATCAGACATTTAAAAACATTAGTAATTAATTCAATAACTTCCGTTCGTTGGAGTGATTTCTTGAAAACCTATAATTTGTGAATTGATCTCTAGAATTTGTCCATATCACGAAGTAAGTAAGTTACACTTTAAAGTTTCAAACTATCGCGCCGGTTCTCTGTAACTTCGAATAGCGTTAATACGGATTTTTGTATGCACTTTAGATTTAGTTCTCTCAATAATTAGTTTGTTTTTCAATTATTATAAGCAGATGGTATTATTATAATCAAAGATTTCAATAAATTAGAGAATGTACAGAAGCGATTTTTATGGCACCTATCCTATCGTTGCAACATGGCTAGGAAACTTCCTAGTTAGTACTTCGTAGAGAGCTGCTTGATATCATGTTTCTGAATAAACTTGTAAATGGAATTTTAGATACCCCTGATATTTTGTCCAGAGTAAACATCTCTATTCCTAAAAAGCTGCAACGATTTACAAAGTCTCCTTTTAGAATTAAGTCTGCAAAATCGAATCTGGTTCAGAATGCTCCATTAAATAGATCTTTAAGGAATTATTATAATTCAATTCATAACGCTGAAATTGATGGTGGTATTGGATCGCAGTGGGGAGGTCGTAAATTTCCCCAAATAGATATTTTTTCAAACTCCTCATCAATTCTCAAAAAGTTAGCGGCTCAACTGATTAGTAATTAGGATTTTATCAGAGATATTCAATTATTTTACTTAATTTAATTTACAATTAAGTAGTGTTTTCATTTTTATTTTATTTTATCTTGATTTAATTATTTTTAAGTGTATAAGCTTCTATAATATCTAATAATTAGAATGTTGTATGCGCCTATAATTGGGGTAGCACTTGGCTTGTGTTTGTGTTACATCTTACATGCATGTATTAGTGTCTACTTTGTTGGTGCAATAAATAAATAAATAAAGATAAAATGTCGATCACTGAAAGGCCCTGGTAATAATAGATATCCTCCACTCACTTTATGATCTGATCTGGTTGTATGGGATGGTCATTGTCACCATAAGCCGTTCTGTGATGTGATGACAATGATGATGTAAATGTCCGGTGTTGTGAATACCAAAACTGTTGGTCTTCCTATTCCAAACAACATTAACATTATATACAGTTAAACTTTATGGTTATAATAAACGAGATAGTTTGATGGCTACACTTAAAAAATCAAAGGCGCTACAACCATTTTGGCCTTAGATTACGATGTCTGTTTTGATTTTTCTAAAAGGCAAGTGATCATCAGGGCGATCAGCCTTCTGACTCTCCTAAGAGTCATAAAGTTTTCTTCACCGTTCGAGCGAATGTTAAATGCATATTTAGACAGAAATTCCTCAAAACTAACACTGCTCCTTATAATTACACTTAGCGATTAGTTGAGAAAATATTAATCGTACTTTACAATGCGCGCTATTTTACGTAATGTATCAAATTATCATCAATTTCTCTTTTATAATTTTCGATACAAATTTGAAAATTAGCAATTAATTAATGAAAAGTTATAATGCTGGTATTTGGTTACCATTTTTTGAATTGCATTTGTTCATTGTTGCATTGGGTCATTGTTTTTGAGTTAGCTCGTGGGCATCTCGTAGGTGTGGTTCCAACCGGTGATTATCTCCCCTTAATGTACAATCGTTGATGTTTTTTAAAATTAAGGGGTTTGTTGTATATTTTTTTTAAATATTGCATATAATAAAATAAACTTTTATTTCAAATGATATTTATTTTGATCAGATGTAACCACCTCGAATTATTCAATAATTCATTTAATTTTGCTCTGTATCCAATCGTAGAAACCATGGACTGAAGTAAATACATCAGGATAGTCTTTGGCGCAGGGAACTCCCCAGGACACGACTCCCATTTGAAGAGTTTTCTTCTTATCGTCCTGAATGACGAGAGGACCACCAGAATCACCCTGCATGAGAAATAATAACATTTAAATGTATTTTATCTTATATTGTTAATGTAACAATAATCCGTATGTATATATGTATAATTCTGAGTTTATGCCTCAGATCGCAGAATTTGCTCATTTGTTTTTATGTGTGTCAGTGATCAGTAATTTTTATATCAGGATAAGAAATGAAGCAAGTGATAAATGCAAACATAAAAATTCGGAACTTTTGAAGACATTCACTATCCAGGTACTATGAATGATGTGACCTTATATTCAAAACTACTTTTGCTAAATCCCGATTGAATCGTGAAACTATTACCAATTAAAACTTGTAGCACATTAGATTACTTACATGGCATGCACCTTTGTGGTCCGGGTGCTTAACGCAGAGTTGTCCGGCGTCTACGGGCACCAATCTCGGGTAAGGCGAGTGTTCTAATTTTTTATTGCAGTCGTCATTGCTTATTGTTTCGAACTCCAACATTTGAAGATTGTTTGGTGCAGTTTTTTTGCCCTGGAACAATAATCAACTTTTGTTTATCAAGGAGAGAATAAAGTGTTAATTTTTTTTCGTTGTTGGAAATTAACGTAAGGCCCTTTCTCCTCTGCTCCAGTCCGGCGTCGGAAGCCGGAATGAGTCATGAGAAAAATATCGGAAGGCCGGATTGCGCTTCTCCACTATATCCGATACGACAATAATCGATCAGTAAAAATAAGTCACCCAGTCGCAACGGACGTAACGCAGTACTTTATTAAAATTCCTCGGCTTTACGATTCACAATGAGTCCTGCCTTTAATCGCCAACAACTTTTAGCTATATGGTAGTATATATCCAAGTAAAAGAATGTACTATTATCTAGAAGACTAGTAACTGGAAACATTAGTATTGATGAGTGCCAAAATTGTTTTCCAGTGTTGTAAAACTAAATATATTTGTCATATATAATTATTGTTTGTTTTTCAAAGCTAGTTGCCAATAATTTCTGTGATAAAATGAACTTATTACAATTATTTATAAATAATATAATAAACATATTTATATTGTATTTTAATGTAAGATTAGTTTTCAATATTGTAATGGTATCTGTAACTGTGTTTTATGTAAATTAACTGTAAATCATTATTTTTTATAATTATTAAAGAATTTTATTTAAAGCTTATTTCATTTATACTGTACTTTATAACTAGTCCAGGAAGAAAAATAGTATTTTTTAACTGAGTCCTTTAGTTTAAATTATGTTCTTGTAACAAGTAATTGTTGTAGATATGTGCAAACAACAAATCTACCTAGATACTTGTATATTTATCGTGACACACTTATATTAACTAAAACCCATATACTTTATTTTATTAATTCTATCCGTTTTAAATTCTGAATATTTTATTGCACTGGCAAGTTTATTACACTTTTTATATTGTCGATCTTAAAATATTATAATCTATTTAATAAATAGTTCACTAATAAATACTATTCAATAAAAATATAAATAAATGGCAACATAATTTGGTTTGGTCCAGGTTATCCACATTCTTTCAAATTAAAGAAACTATAAATAAACCTGTGAATAATAATGTATAACCTCTTGGATACTTGAATATATGTACTTGGACCGATAAAACACCGCGTTCCGATCTAGCAAATTATCGGATAGTTAAAAACCGGATGCCGGGGTAGTGGAGAAGTACGTACGTACTGTTGTGAGTTTCTAAATCGGATCGGTAATAAACGTTTGCCGGATCGGAGCCATGGAGAAACGGCCTTACGATGTTAATATAATGCCAGCCCTCCTAAATATTATTTTGTTACACATTTATTGTTATGTAGGTTTTTATGTTCCATACATAATATTTTGGCTAAATAAAAAAAACTTTTACGTGTATTTTTTTTCAGATACAAATCGTCTTGGTCACGAGGGTCTCAGTACAGAATATTACAAAACGGATAAATTTATAAAAACATTTAGTTAATATATCATAATAATAAAATACATTAATCTACTCACATAGTCTACGTATCCCCAGCCAGTCAAGAGACATTTCTTTCCAATGGGTGCCTTTTCTTTTAACAACTCAATGGGTTGAACCTTATCGCTGAATTTAAATTTGCCTTCGATCTGTACGATGGCTATGTCATTCTTTAGAGTCTTCGAAATATACTTCTCATGAGGGATCAATTTCTTAATCTTGTATCGATCGCCGCCTTTATCGATCGTGTGAGTGCCAACGACTATTGACATATCTTTCTTGTTTTTCCTAAAAGTTTTTTGTAAATCATTCAAGTTCATTTTGTAATTTCCTGCAAACCAGCCTTACGCGCATCACGACTTGCATGAAATTGCATTGAAGCATACGCGGGGAAGGACCTTATATAAGTTAGGTTTAAAGGCATTTATTCTCATAACAGACAATAGTCACTTACATGAGAACTTATGTACTAAACATACAATTTATCACGTTGTGGGTCATTGAAGAGCTTCAAGGACGAATTAGCGAAGTAGAACTTGGATGGAATTTCATTAACGTAGACAACTGGGATCAATCAGGAGATGGTCTTTTAGTCGTAATTTAAATAAATATTGCCAGGATGTCTACACTATATATATTTTGTGGAAGTCTATTGTACCGGCAGCACTCCCCCAACACTCAATGTTTTTTTACCGTAATTGGTTCTAAACTTAGGTAGAAAGAAGAAAAGGTGAGGGCGTCGTGAACTGCGCTTCTGAATTTGATTTATTTTAGTGAAAGTAATGTTATATAGTCATTTAGAATTTTGTAGATTAAAAAGCTGGTATTGTATTGAAATAATTGTTTTATATTCATGAGTTTTGTTTCACTGTAGATTTTTTGTGTAGAAGTTAAGTATGGGTGAAAAAAGCAATTTAATAACTATATTTTGAGCAATTTGAAGATGTGAAATGTTAGTTTTAGTCTATTTGTTAACTCATGTCTCATGCAATTAAATAATATACGTATATTAATAGAAACGAAAAATATACTCACTGATAAACGCAATGAGCGGCTGTTAACACGTACTCTTCGTTTAAAATAGAACCTCCGCAACTGTGCCATTCTTGATTTCTGCTATGACCACGCAATGAAACTTGGTAGTCAGCCATGCCTGGAGTGGCATCTTTGCCACCGATTATTCGGCTGTCTCCATCTATAGCTTCCGAAACGTCCACTTCGCCTGTGAACGTACTTTATTTTATTCGGCTACTTGTTCATGTTTAGTTTAATATATTGTGCACGGGGCACGGCGTTACAATTATTTTGTTGCGGAAGCCAAAGAAAGAAAGAAAGAATTCATTGATCGTAATGACGGTCAGGATGGTGCGAAATTTAATAATTCTCATAAAGATTAAAATTATTTGAAAACAGTAACATCATTAGTTAAAAAATTGCAAAAAGTGGATTATTTTATGAAAAAATTAAACCATACGGTATTTGACTATTATTCCCCAAATCCGTGTTTGTATCCTTCGTAAGACTATACAGTATTGGGTATAAATACATATTAAAATGAAGTTTATCTTACCAAGGAGTCCTTGGGACAGTAAAAGTAATATTCCAAAATGGAGCAACATTTTCCTTGGAGTAATATCCTTGCTTTGAAATTTATAATTTCCTACTCCATATTTATACAAAAAATCTACATAATTTAATGGAAAAATGTGCAAAAGACGGAAATTATAAAAAAAAAACATAATTAGTATTGGTGTTATTGGTATCGGTAAATGTTATTGAATTGTATGTGTGTTACCTACTACATACTTAATGATATTGAGCGAATGTTAAATGCATATTTAGACAGAAAAGCCACGAGGCCAGCACTGCCCCTTATAGAGCATACACTTAGCCGCTTTTAGCGCTTAGTTCCAAAAGTTTTAATCTTACTTTAACTTTTTTGTGCAAAAAATTCAAGGGTTATGAATAGTATACCAATGATGAGGAATTGAATCTGGATGATACTACGTATTTCTTACAATCACCATGGATTCAAAACTTCAGTAGTCCCCTCATATTAACGGATTGGCGAAGACTTAGTTCTGCAGCTTGCGCAGTTAAAAAAATTCACTCACTAATTGATGTCGATACAGCTAGACTTGTTGTATTTTAGTTACTTTCCCTGCTTAATAACTTATGGCTTATTATTAGGGGGTCATGCTGATGATGTCGAATCTATTGTCATCCTGCAGAAGAGGGCTATTCGTACAATATATCATTTATCCATATTGTACGAATAGTAAAGTCATTATCTTCCCTTAATGTACAATCGTTGATGTTTTTTTAAAATTAAGAGGTTAGTTGTATTTTTTTAAATATTTCATATAATATAATATACTTTCATTTCAAATGATATTTATTTGGTCAGATAACCTTGAATTATTCAATAATTCATTTAATTTTGCTCTGTATCCAATCGTAGAAACCATGGACTGAAGCTAATACATCAGGATATTCTTTGGCGCAGGGAACTCCCCAGGACACAATTAATCGAAGGTTTTGGATTCTCTATTCCTTTTATGTTACAACTTCGTGATATAATATAGCTGTACTGAGTAAACTGGACTTATGAGGGAAAATAGCTCGATATAAATCAAACTAATCCGTCGTTATGTGTTTATTTTATGTTTTGTTTTTAACTTTTTTTATTGTACAGATGTATTTGTTTTGTTTCCAAATAAATAAATCAGTCTAGAGAAATTAAACAATATATTTTGTGCTTGTAAATTTAAGGCCATGGAAACTAAAAACCATTTTATTATAAATTTCTCATTTATTTCAAGGTTGAGTAGTAATTAATTTTTGAAAACAATTAAGTTTAATGTGGCAAAAAATCAATTAAAGGTCTTTAATTAAAAAATACCAATTTATATTGTAATAATCCAATGATTATCATTCACGTTACTTAGTAAATTTGAATTTTTACATAAAAAATTAAAGTTGCTCTTTCTTCGGAGAGGTTTTAAGATGTTTTTTAACAATTAATAAGAATTGAATATTGCTCTGTCTTACTCATTTCTCGCTTCAAACGGTTAGTTATCGGTGAGCCTGCCCGATAGGTTTGAGATAATCCCACCACCTTGAACGTTTGACCCTACCCGTAGGGCTCCGTCTGTTACCTTAGGTCTCTTGGTGCAGACATCCCGCATTTATATATATGTCAGGGAATGCTCCGATTATCAGGAAATGTTCGGATCGAGTCAATTGACCGTTGTATTTTATTCCTACTTTTGTTAATTATTGAGATTTTGTTTGTGTTACTTTTATGATTAATTATTTAATTGGATTTGATTTGATTCGTTATTTTTAATTGTTTTCTAGTTATTTATAAATAATAACATAACGAATAAAAGTACGACTATTGTTAGTATCGGTCGTATCTGAATATGAGCAGGGCAGGCGCCTCGAGTGGGGTCGAGGCGCCATTTTGGACAGTAGGTACGTTCGGGGGAACGCGACTGAGTTCTTTCTGAGGATTCGGTAAAGCATTGCGGTGAGTAGAGGTTGAACCGAGTTGGGTCTAAGAGATTTGTTTTTGATAGTAAGATCGGTGCCTTGAACCCGCTGCTCAGTGTTATTTAGGCTTAAGTGCCGTTTGAAGTGTTAAAAGGAAACAACTTAAAATTAAATATTGTATCATCTATATTCGTGTATTTTGTGCTCGCACTTTACCCAAATGACGCCCACTAAACCCACTGATGACGATGCAATCGAAGAAGGCAATATTTCTCCGATATCAGATGTGGGGTTCAGTGCAGGCACAAAATATTGACCTTGACCGTATTCAACGAAGAGCGATTCGAATCGTCGACGACCTGTCACTTTCCGTGCGGCTTGATCCCTTGGGTAGAGATCCGTATATTCCAATGGTTTTCATCCTACTATTATTATCTTTGGTTTCAAAAATTATCCACCCTGGTCTATATCTAGTTAGGAGTTATATAACTCCAGCACGTTATCGATAACGGTGTTGAATTTTAGTGACAGGTGGGAGTTACTTTTTGATTCCTATTCGTGATATCGAATTTGATCGTCCGAGTTAGACAATATGTTTATTATATAGTTAAAGGCTTTGCATAATTTTGTTTGTTAAATTATTTAATACCTGAGATTTTTGAATGCTATAATGTTTAAAAAGTGAAATATGTTGATTTAAACTAGAACTTAATTCTTCATTATTTGATTTTAAAATATGAATAGCTGTCTCATATGTCAGAGCGTCATTACGATCAAGATTCCCAGAAATAAATTAAATAAGAGCACCCAATGGATTAACGATGATTCGTTTAACCCTGGAGTCAGGTTCGATTGATTTTAACTGTAACATTATTTATAAATGTAGTCAGTTTAGCTCTTGAAACGTAATAACCATTCGGTAGTCTATGAATAGTTTTAGTCAATTATGTCTGCAAGTCAAGTACGTGTTGTTATATTAGGTATTAACCTATAAGACATTAGTCTTTCAGAAAAACATGATAGTGAGAAATGATTTCAGTATCTCCTTATTTAAAGATGAATAAGCCAGGTCCATTGTTGAGGCTGTCAAGTCTTCTTCTGCGCTTGGGCTAGGGTTGTCAGAGTCAGTATTAGGTACCTGTAACAAAGTAGAATCTTTGTGTGTCTTTTATCTGTTAATCTAGTTTTCTCTACCCGTCCGTGTGTGTAGGTAAGTTCCACACGGACATCCATCAACAACACATATCACATCTTCGAATAGCTCACAATAAAGTCATTAAATTGCTTTTTCATTACCCATACTTAACTTCTACACAAAAAATCTACAGTGAAACAAAACTCATGAATATAAAACAATTATTTCAATACAATACCAGCTTATTAATCTACAAAATTTTAAATCATAAAGAAGCGCAGTTCACGACGCCCTGAAAATCTAATTCTACCTAAGTTAATGTAGGCCATACACACTACGGTCTACCGGAGTGGTAATCTGTGCAGGTATGCCTGCGCAGGTCAACCGAACAATGGTAGCGTGTATGGGGACGTTCCGGTGTATCGGAGCGGTCTTCAGTTCTCATTGCGATGGCATCGAATATGGACGATGATACGCTGGCGTTGCTAGGTCTTGCTTTAATTTTGATGAAAAATGATACGAAAAATGATACGATAATTACAGGAAGATTTAATTGAGGACAATGAAAAAGTACTCGACGATGGATCTGAAGTATCAGCGGAGGAAGGAATCGGGAACCAAGCACATGTGAACGAGGTACCTGAGACTCCCGAGAGTCAACTAGATGAGAGCCAAGTGACTATGACGCAAGAGTCCAGGAACCCAGCGTCTGCAGCGACAAAATTCAAGCATCCTGTACCAATAAAAAAGGCAAAAAAAGTGTGTTGCAAAATGACCCAATCCTAAGTGAAGCATTGCAATTGATGAGGTCTTCAGCACAAGCTGCCACTGCTACTCTTTCCAGTACTGCTTGATCTGCAGCTGTTGCACCAGATCAATATCAAATTTACGCAAATTATTTAGCGTCCAAATTTCGTACTTATACAGCCACTACTTACATGGCTGTTGAACACCAGATAAACAACATATTGTTTTCTGCTGATAGAGGAGAGTTTGACTGGGAAAGAGGTTATCTAACCGACTCCAACTCCAGTCAAGCGTCTACACCAGCTTCAACGCCAAATCAGAACGTTGCGAATTCTGAAAAGTCGCAACATTCTGATGATTTTAGTGACCTTGTAAGATTTAATAATCTGTAATGTTCTTTTACTTTAATAATAAAATATGGCTTACCTTTATTTGTTGTTTTAATACATTGAGAATAGCTTGAAAAGTCTCTGGTACTATTAGACTAATTGCTTGCTTCGATACTCTGAAAGTATATTGCAAACTTGTAAAAGAATCCCCACTTGCGAGGAATCTTAGAGTAATACTAAGTCTTTCTTTCACTGAAATCGCGTTTCTAAATTTGGTGTCAGTTTTTTTAATCACTGGGCCAATCATGTTTATTAAATACTCAACATCAATGGGTGACATGCGAGTGAAGTTTTTGTATTTTCCACTGGTATCCTGAAATTATAAATCTCGCATCAATGGTATTCCACCATGTTTGTTTCGGTTTCTAAACACTTCAAGCTCCCACCAGCGCCGTCTACATCTGGATTTAACTTTTTTTGAAATACTATTAATTATAATATAACAGGCGCAAGTCACCGCCAAATTGTGAGCAATTGCTGACATGGCTAAACCGTTTGGGAACGAAGACATGACTGAACCGTACGAGAAGGGAAAGGTGCACTGAAAGACACGCGCATCAGGACAAGATACATCGGAAGAAAACTGAAGCGTCTATATTTGTAAAGTTAAAGCCGATACAGCATTTGATAAGTATGGACGCGTTTATTACAAGATACGCCTTAAAAATACGACATGGACAAAATGAGCGTCCATATTTATGATACAAATACTAGACACGATACGACTGATCGTGATACGTCAACATGCTACAAATGTGGACCCGGCTTAATGCTGGGTCCACATTTGTAGCATTTCGGTGTATCGTATCTCCGTTGCGTGGCCTCGGCACGTATCATGATCGTTAGTTTGGACGCAAAATGATACCCGTTAATGATACATGCCGTATCTGATACGGCCCGATCCGCACTAAGTGCGTATCTTGATACACCTCGTATCCGATACTGTACTGTGTCGTGTATCGTGATACGATACTTGATACACCGCGAACCATCCTGTGTCAGTTTTTTCGCGATCATCAAAGGGGATACAAGTCGTATCGAACAAGTTTGGATGTGAATGCAGTGAAATAAACATTGTTGAGCTAAATGTAGTGCAGTAAAGATAGTAAAGTAAAGGGGCACTGAAAGACACGCGAATCAGGAAAAGATGCATCGGAAGTAAAGTAAAGCGTTTATATTTGTAAAGTTAAAGCCGATACACTGACATGATACAGCATTTGATAAGTATGGACGCGTTTGTTACAAGATACGCCTTAAAAATACGACATGGACAAAATGAGCGTCCATATTTATGATACAAATACTAGATACGATGCGACTGATCGTGATAGGTCAACATGCTACAAGCCTACAAATGTGGACCCAGCTTAACACACAGAGATCCAATGTACTCGACTTTAATAATGGATCATTCCAAAAGTGCTCGTTAATGCACAGCCTGCAATCGCTGTCCTCGTCTGACAAATGATGTTACGCGCTAACTCTCTTTCACTCTACCTTAAATATTTATTATCTTTAACAGCCAGTAACCCTTATTTGCGGCCAGATTTAATTAAGCAACTTTATATGATATTTAATAGAAAAAAATTAGCTTCAATTTGACATATAATTAATAAAAATAGGTTATAAACGTATAAATTTATCGAAATCATACCTGTTTACACCTGGCTGCAAAGAGGTGCGGCCAGGTGCGCAACGGCAACCGTGATTTTTTAGAATCTTCATATTAATTACCGTGATGTAGACGTTATTTTATTTAAAAAATAAATAAACGAAATTTTTTACCAAAAATCAATTAAAAATAATGGCGGCCAAATTTTGATAGGCACCCTAGTAAATATATATTCTCTTAATTATAAATAAACATAAAAATTTGGTTTTAAACAAAAAGTCGATGAGCACACCAATCCTGCAGCGGGATCTCGTACTATAAAATAAATTCCGGTCCGCTTCACAAGGCATTTTCTTTTGCGAACTAGCGAACTGTGGAATCGGCTACCGGGGGGGGTCTTCCCTCAGAGATACGACCTCCAAATGTTCAAAAAGCGAGCCTACTCCTCCCTCAAAGGCCAGCAACGCACCCACTAAAAATGGGTGTCTATGAGCTGCGTAGACTGCCCTTTTTGGTCGTCCCTCAAGCTCGTTTGCCCCCCTAATATATATAAAAAAAAAAATACCAGTTTCTTAAGCAGAATGACAATGTAACAAGTATGTTTATAAAACGCCTCATTCCGCCTGTAGTCATATCTGCTGCGCAGTTGCTATTAAATATGTTTAGGCACTATGCACCAACACACTCTTTAATTATAAAGATTGATTTAGGGCATGTCCGGTATATCGCCGATAAGCACCGAGCTTCAGGTCTTGTTTATAATACGCGACAGAGTCTTAGCGGGAATCTTCATTTCTCATGATAAGATTTTTCGCTTCCTAATGGGGTGTCGACAAAGTCTAACAGCATTAACAGTCTTTGTAGTTCTAACAGCACGCGGACGTTTAATATATAACAGGGAGTATACGGCGTATTCAGGTTTTGACCTTAGTTTTTCCACCGCTATTTTGTGTCCGCCCTCTCGTTCCCTGGCGTACCAACGTGCGCCTTTACCCAGAAGAGGCTTACATGAGTTCCTCTTTTGCTATGCTATTGTCCACTCACAATAGCATCTAATGCTGACCTAGAGTCACTGTATATTTTAGTCGTGCCGTTAATTCGGCTTGAATAACTGTGCAGTGGGACGCCATCGTTATCTTCTTGCTATTTATTTCCATTCCATCTTTCCATTCCGTCCAAGCGGCGCGTGCCCACTCCTATACTTGTTTTGCTGCCGTCCATATAGATTTGTGTGCTGCCGTGTCTTCCGATTTTTTCCGGATTGGTGATCATATTGTAGTCCAGTTTCATTTGTTTCGCCGGGTGTGGGAGATTTACATATTGCACTCTCCTCTCTAATTCTTCGCCGTTCTTCGTATAAGGCAACAGCTTCTGGAATACGGAGGTCTAGAGGAATTATCCCGGCCAGTGCTGCGTGTAACGATGTCGTCCTATAAGTTTTTGCAATTTTATGGGCAAAGCCCATGTTCAGATGATTTAGTTTTTTTCCGTACACAGATTTTATTTTGTCGCAGGAGTCCACACCGCGTCCGCTTACATTACGATTGGTTTAATAACAGCAGTGAAGCGGTCGCGATAACTTGCTGGTTTAGTCCTCATTCAATCTTCGCGGCTTTGGTAATAAGTTTTTGAAGTGTCTGGAATATGACCGACGGCTCTATACCCACTTTGTGCAAGGCGATCACTGCAATCCTATTTCCATGTTGTAATTTGATAATGAACACTAAAAAATACGTGAAATAGCGCAAAATCGAAAGAAGTTTTTAAATTATATACGTGTTCTAAATTCAAAATAATTAAAAAGTTGAAAAAAATATGCATTTTCATTTGTAACAGAACTTATGGCCAGACTAATTGTATTTAATCATAAAGTTTTTTCCATAATTATTGTACCCTTTTTAATAAATTTCGACTTCTTCCTTAATTGTTCGCTAAAATAACATCTTAAAATGGATTGTAATGTTTAAATTTCTGTGTTTCTAATTAAACCGATTTTTTTAAATAGCTTAATATGAACAATTAGTGAATTAGAGTTAGTGCACGTTAGTCTTAAGTGCTAAACCGTGGTAAGTGAAAAAATAAAAAATACAAGAACAGAGTGTTTCTTAAAAGAGACTGTAAGTAGTGTTATTGGACACTTTCTTATGTTAAAAATCCTTATTAGTAAATTAGCTTAGGCTTAAAATACTTATTAGTCATAAGTTCGGCTAGATCGTAATGTTCCATGATATCTCTATCTAGACACATTTATTTAAAAAAAACTACGAATAATATCAGTAGGTACTCAAATGTAAAATTATTTTTAATTTAATCTTAACTATGGCTAAAGGTTTTTCAAATATAACAGCGATAATGGCATTGTATAATGCACTTGTTAGGACCCACTTAGAATGTAACTCTATGATTTGGGCCCCACAAGAAAGAAAATATTCTCTACTGGTGGAGCGTATTCAAAATAAATTTACGAGATACATTTACATGAGGTTGTATGGAGTGTACCCATTTTACCCAATTATGTATCCAACTTTGTTTGTCTTGGGTATGGTAGGATACAAAAGTTAGAGGTACGGAGGGACCTTACTATTTTAGTTTAGTTTTCTATTGTATTAGTTAAGTTACTGTTAAAAAAAAAAAAAAACATGGTGGTGTTACGTTTAGCAATTAATCCATTAATTTGTGAAAAACAAATATTTACCCACATAATATTGCTAAATGACTAAGTTTGTAGATGAGTGACGAAAATATGACATTTGCTCCAGCTTAAAATTCTTCGAATTAATTAATTATTTTTTAAAAAGATATTTACGTTCTGAAATAATCTGTTAATCGAATTGTTTATTTATTTTTTTCTTAAAACTTCGTCGCAAGTATACAATTAACCTAATTAAGTAAAAAAGAGGGCAACTGGCGGCCTTATCGCTTTCGAGCGATCTCTTCCGGGCAACCACTGCGAGAAAAAAAATTGAATAAGTTCAAAATTATTATAAAATGATTAACAATACACAATCTTTGTAAAAGAGTATTGAAATGGCGCTTTAAAAAAAGTAAATTCGAAAATGTATGTAGATAGACATTTTTAGTAAAGAAATTTGCCCTTGAATATAATTTTAACAAATATATCTATTACCATTGAGACAGTAATTTATGTATATGTATTTAAAATATTAGAGCAATTGATCTAGAAATTATGATAATTAACTATTGAAATTTAAATATCAAAAATTGATATTTAGTTGTTTATACTGTTTATGCCCACGAGTATGAATTCAAAAATGTTACTTTATTTTTCGTTGCTGGCCTCGATTGGACTAACTTGGGGTAAGTAAAATACATTTTTTTCTTGTATTGAAAAATATTATTTTTTTGGTTATGTCTGTTTGGCTGATAGGACTGCGTAATCATAAAATAAGAAATAGGAACCAGCTATAGGGTGCTGGTGGGATACGAAATACCACCTTTATCTGCAATTTTTGCCGCGCACCACCACTATATGGAATCAGTTGTCCTTCAAGAAAAGAGCGTACCAATTCTTAAGGCCGGCAACGCACTTTCGAGCACTCTGGCAATGTGTGTGTCTATGGGCGGCGGTATCACTTAAACATCAGTTAAGGATCCTGTCCGTTGGCCCCCTGTTTCTTTGTTACATAAAAATACACTTAATTTTTTTTACATAAATAATAATATTTTTTTCCAAGGACCTCTTTTAGAGTATAGGCCTCCTCCAACTAGCTCCATCTCTATCTATCTTGAGCATTGTGCTCCCAATATTACCCACCAACTTATTTAAGCTCTCATCTCACTATCATCTCTTTTTTTCTTGTAACCCTGTTTGTCAATCTGCCATTGTTCATTTCAATTTTTTGCAATGGGATAGTGCATCAATAACTTTAGTTTTCTTTCTTATTTCTGTACTTCTTAACTTGTTCTTTTGTTTACAATACTATTATTAATTAAAATTTCTAATTACATATATTAAGGAAAAATGTAAGAACATTAATTTCTTTGATAAGAACTTAAAAACGTGTCACGTGTTGGGGATGCAATTAATTCTATTGGTTTTTATCATTTTGGATTAATTGCCTTTTTCATTTAATCACTTTTACAATAAACGTCAGAATTAAATGTACATTTTATTGCGATGTTTCTATTTGAGGTCTATGTTTTCCTTGTATTATTTTATTCCTCCTCTGGTAAGTGTATTATAATTTTTGGTAAATTTGTCGAATCACGACTCCACTTTAAAACAGCTACATTTTTTTCTTTAATTATAAGTTATAACCAATTAAAACATCATCATTTGTAAAATGAATGAAACGAGGTAAAATTTTTTGGCTTTGACCAAACATAACCTAACCTGATCACAAACGCCACTTAGAATAAAAAAATAAAAAAACCTTTCCTAATCTAATGCAATTCACTGGGAACTGAGTCAGTATTATTAACATCATGCATGTAATATTATCAGTTTATTAAATTTGAAGGATTCAAAGCCATGCGCCTCTAAAATTACTTATGGTACAATATACAAGTAAAGAATATACATATATGATAGACATAAAATTGGATCTGTTTTAAGTGATTCGACAAATTTACCTAATTTTAATGGCCTTTAATTAAAGCTTTATAGATTTAGTTAATATGTTTTTTATTCAATAATATGATTTATAATGAACCAAATCTGAGATATACCCGTTTCCTACATCAGTTTACTGGATTTACTCATCGAATACGCTATAATGCCATTATTATAACTTGCAATTTTCCATGCACATAAAATTTCTGACTTTCCATGTATTTTGGATCGACATGAACACTTCCTTCCGCGACCACTTGCTTGTCCATAAGCCAAAGTCCGCGGCTCATAAGTAATATTTTATTTTTAGTTTATATTATTGTCATTGTTTTTAAGATCTATTTGTCCATGTTTGTGTGATTATTGATGAGTATTTTGGTAATTTCAGATATTCTCATGTTCTTCATATTACGATGTCTGTACTAGCATAATTTGATATAGGTATTTTAAGTAACACAAGGTATGTTTCAAAATTCGTGTATATACCTTGGCGAGAATCCTTGAAAATAATAATTTTGTCTCAATAGAATGAGTAATCAAATAAATGGTAATAATATTTTAGGTCTGAAGCTTGCGATTGCATCGGCTGATCCCAAAATTCTGGGAGGTGACGACGCACCAGACGGCGCTATAAAATATCAGGTGTCCCTCCAAAATGTGGGTAGCCACTTTTGTGGTGGATCCATCATAGATAAAAAATGGGTGGTCACGGCTGCTCATTGTACATATAAGTAAGTTCAACACAATAACGAACATATTATAACTATTTAGGTAACGGAGAAAACAAATAAGTATAAAAAATTATGAGAAGTATGTACTACTCGTATAATACAACTATCGCCATCTATTGGAATGATTAAAACTGAATACTATCATTCCTATGTACTATTACAAGTAATGTTTAACAAATTAAGCAGTGTTTGCCTAGTGGCAACAGCGTGCGACTCTCATACCTAAGGTTGTCGGTGCGATCCCCGGCTGTGCAACAAAGAACTTTCTTTCTATGTGCGCATTTAACATTTGCTCGAACGGTGAAGGAAAGGTGTGTCAGGCACTGGAGGCTGATCACCTACTTGCCTATTGGATTTAAAATTGATCATGAAACAAATTCAGAAATCTGAGGCCAAGACCTAAAGGTAATAGCGCCACTGATTTATTTATTTTGATTTGTTTATCAAATTAATCAGTATTTAACAATATATTATTGTACTGCACAAGTCTCTCTCTTGTCCTTTTTTAAAAGCTCAGTTCTAAAGCAATTGAACCCAAAAGTACAAACATATTTTTACTGGTTACTTAGGCATCTTGAAAAGTGGTATTGGGACTTTAAAGCTTAATTTGCCGTCGACGTTTTAGCGGCGTGATCCACCCAATACAGTTGACGGTGTTACTAAGATAATTTACAACGTTTAAAGATTGAGAAACGAAATTAAAACGAAACGTAATGGTTTAGGGATTGGATAAACGATCGCAATAAGAGGTGCTGTGGAAAGAATCGGAATGCGCCGAAATTTCATATTTTAGGATCATTAGGATATTAATATAACTTTTGATAAGCTTTAAGTACACTGTCAAAATGGATTTCTTCGTATAATTTTTTTACATCTTAACCCATAAGCAATTCATGATATTTTAAGCATTCATGTTTTTTCATTTATAAATACAGCCGACCAGCCCAATCTTTCAAAGTAGCGGTGGGAATCAATAAACTGTCAGACGAAGGACAAAAATATACACCTGATAAGGTGATCGTCCACGAAAAGTTTGACGAGAAATTATTCACAAATGATATAAGCCTTGTAAAAATCGAGTCCGGTATAGAACTTAATGATAGAGTTAATCCAGTGGGATTGCCTACAACTAACATCAATCCAGGAGATACACTGGTATTAACAGGATGGGGCAGGATAAGTGTAAGTTAAAATACAAGATCTCTATATTCATATCTTATTTTTTTAATCTTTTAACAATTCGTAGCTATGAACAGTGTTGGCCTAGTGGCTTCAGCGTGCGACTTTCATCACTGAGATCGTAGGTTCTATCCTCGGCTGTGCACCAATGGAATTTCTTTCTATGTGGAGGAAAACAGCTTGACTTAGACTCAAAAAGTCGACAGCACAGGAGACTGATCGCGTACCTGCCTATTTTGGATTGACAAATGATCATGAAACAGATATAGAAATCTGAGGCCCAGGCCTAAAAAGGTTGTGACCACACGCCACTGATTTAGTTTTAATTATTTTAAATTCGTAGTTGACCTGACATTCCAAAAACTACCTTTGCGATACTTAACTTTTCAGTAACTTCATACTGGCTGTTTACTTATGGAGTTGTCTATCTGTATTATTGCTTGTACGGTGAAAAAAACATCACAACGAAACCAGCACATCTAAGACACAAAAATTTACAGCATGTGATCACTTGATGTAAATAATAAATAAAAACGAACGACGAGATATACGATTCTACTTTTATTTATTGTTGTATATCTTTTTTATGAAAAAATGGAGCTCGACACTGGCTTCCCGGGATGGGCTGCGACATATTGCTTGAGCACAGAGAGCAGCTATCAAAATTCGGCCATAAAATAGTCAAATATGTCACTACGATAAACAGCACATGGTTTCCGCCAGCTATAGGGCTCCGACTCATAAATATCATGAGGATATTACCGGAGTAGTTGTCGCACGGACCCGGCGGGAGACGCCAAGCCTTTGAAGTAGTTAAAATCCCTTTTTTAGGAAAGGAGAGGTTTGACACTCCCCTGACGTCTAGCTTCTCAGCCTGATCGCGTACCTGATAGGCTACTGTGTATGTACCTGAAAAAACGTAAAATATGTTAACTGCATTCTCAGGGGTCAGTTTTGCAATCAGGGGGGTACAAACGACTTTTACTCAGACCAGTACAGAAGTTATTTTTGTTCCATACCATTATTGCCACGCACCACCAGTATGTGGAACCAGCTGCCCACTGAAGTATTTCCAAACCAATTCGACTTATGTCGTGTGGTGGTACGTGTGTATCTCTTAACATTAGATGAGCCTCCTGCCCGTTTACCTCCTGTTCCATAAAAAAAGTGTATTTTGTTCAAAATGTATGTACTATTAAAGTGATCTATTCGGATTGTTTTTTTTTAATGTATATACTAAGATAAGCAATTTGTTATTACAATCGTGCAACAATATCTCTACGCAGGCGATATCTTTTTAACATAAAATAAATTATTTACAGAACGATGGTCCGCTACCAAATAAACTTCAGATTGTTGAAGTAACTGCTATAACAACTAATCAATGCAAGAAAAAATATAGCTTTTACAAGCAGCCGATTACGCCTAAACATCTTTGCACACGCGCGCCACCTCGAGAAGGAAGCTGTCAGGTAAAATTTGTTATAACAAAACTTACTTCAATCTAGATGGTATAATATTTAATAATATATAAATTATTCACATAACTTTGGGAGCTTTTCAAGTCATAGCTTCTTAAGATTGTTGCCAATCTTTTTTAGATTTTAATAATAAAATCGAATAAAAACTTTAATCATGACAAATAGGTTTTGACAAAGTTCATCTACCGCTAGTCCCCACACTAGGGAGTCCCCGTGTTGTGGGTAACTACATAACAATTATTCCGTGGTACATGTTTAAAACAGTTATTATATTTAGTACATTTTCTATTTTTTTTAATAACTTATTGGTGTCCATTTTGAGTAAGCCAACAGTGAGAACACAGTGAGACATTTCATAATTTTAATAATACGAGTATAATATGATGTCACAAGAACCTGAAATATTCTTTTCACAAAATGAATGGAATTAATGGAACATATCGTTCTGATTCAGACGTTTTTGACATTTACATCGCGTCACATATGCGTCCTATCGGATTTACAAGAGTTAAGGACAGTGAACACACTTTTGTGCCGAATAATCAGCTTCCGGCATCATTAGAACTGAGGCTGGTAACGAATTTTGAATGCCATTTAGAATGCCAGACTGTTTTGTGTCAAGGCAACTCATTCGTATACTACTGTCTGTCGTCTTTAAAATAATTAATAATGATTTTGTTAGTAAGTTATAATTACTAAGCGTTTTTTGTATTTGATTCGAAATAAAGAAAATTAATATTGAAATTAGAATTATGGTACTAGAATAATGGTACTGCGTTATTAAATGAAGAAATTGAAATATGTAGTAGTTCTAAGTTTTTGACGACCACACTTTTACAGGGAGATTCTGGCGGCCCTTTAGTAAGGAATGGAACTCTTGCTGCCCTGGTTTCCTGGGGGACAAGAAACTGTGGGCACAGCTTAGTGTCTCCCGATGTCAATACTAGAGTCTATTCTTTCGTCAATTGGATGAAAGATACGATGAAAAAGAATTAAAATAAATAAATATTTGCATTGAGTACATATTTCTTTTAGTTCCCATTTAATTTGGTACTACTAATTTATAACAATTCAACCCTGACCTGATTTTGGATGCTATGGTACCTGAGCGATTTATGTAGAGAGAATTTAAAAACTACAACTTTGTAATTGAAATTAAATGTGACATTATGTTATAAGTCAAGAGAAAGACCAAACATTTAAAAATATTAGTAACTAATTCAATAACTTCCGTTCGTTGGAGTGATTTCTTGAAAAGCTATAATTTGTGAATTGATCTCTAGAATTTGTCCATATCACGAAGTAAGTAAGTTACACTTTAATGTTTCAAACTAGTTAATTAGTAAGTAATAATTAGTTTGTTTTTCAATTATTATAAGCAGATGGTATTATTATAATCAAAGATTTCAATAAAGATAAAATGTCGATCACTGAAAGGCCCTGGTAAGAATAGATATTCTCCACTCACTTTATGATCTGATCTGGTTTTATGGGATGGTCATTGCCATCATAAGCCGTTCTGTGATGTGATGACAATGATGATGTAAATGTCCGGTGTTGTGAATACCAAAACTGTTGGTCTTCTTATTCCAAACAATACCAACATTATTCCAACCTTATATACAGTTAAACTTTACGGTTATAATAAACGAGATGGTTCGATGGCTACACTTAAAAAATCAAAGGCGCTACAACCATTTTGGCCTGAGATTACGATGTCTGTTTTGATTTTTCTAAATGGCAAGTGATCATCAGGGCGATCAGCCTTCTGACTCTCCTAAGAGTCATAAAGTTTTCTTCACCGTTCGAGCAAATGTTAAATGCATATTTAGACAGAAATTCCTCAAAACTAACACTGCTCCTTATAATTACACTTAGCGATTAGTTGAGAAAATATTAATCGTACTTTACAATGCGCGCTATTTTACGTAATGTATCAAATTATCATCAATTTCTCTTTTATAATTTTCGATACAAATTTGATAATTAGCGATTCAAGAATACCGCACTGAATCTTCTGACTTCCTATTTACACGGTAGAACTCAGAAGGTTGAAGTAAGAGGTCCTCTGGGTCGGCCCTTTCCTCTTTCTTGTTTATATAAATGATCTACCTTTCATGGTAGAGAAAAAACATCGGATAGTTTTGTTTGCTGATGATACGTCCTTGATTTTTAAAATCAAACGACAAATAACGAATTTTGACGATGTGAACAATGCTCTATCTTCGATTGTCCATTAGTTTAGTATGAATAACCTTCTACTTAATGCAAAAAAGACAAAATGCATTAAATTTTGTGCAAAAAATGCAAGGGTTATGGGTACTAGACCAATTATAAACGGTGAGGAATTGAATCTGGATGATACAACTGTATTTCTTGGAATCACCATGGATTCAAAACTTCAGTGGTCCCCTCATATTAACGGATTGGCGAAGAGACTTAGTTCTGCAGCCTACGCGGTTAAAAAAATTCGCTCACTAACTGATGTCGATACAGCTAGACTTGTTTATTTTAGTTACTTTCATAGCTTAATGACTTACGGCTTATTATTACGGGGTCATGCTGCTGATGTCGAAACTATTTTTTTTTATCCTGCAGAAGAGGGCTAGTCGTGCAATCTATAATTTAAAATGTAGGGAATCTCTTAGATATAAATTCAAGGAAATTAATATACTTACATTTCCCTCGCAATATATTTTTGAAAATATTATGTATGTATACAAAAATAGTGATAAGTTTACTAGAATAGAACATACGCACACTGCAATTTCCCCGTACTAGACTATCTAAAGTTAGTAATTCTTTTTTGGGAAAAGGGATACTCTTCTTTAATAAAATCCCAGAGGCTCTTTTATCTCTGCATTTTAATAAATTTAAGAAATGTATTAAAGAAAAGCTGTGTAGAAAGGCTTACTATAAAGTTAATGATTATGTAGTTGATAAAAGGGCCTGGGACTAGTGCTAGGCTACTTCTAATTAATTTGCGATATTTGTTTTAAAATAAGTGTTGTTTGATGATTTGCTATTTTAAAAGAGTACCGAAAGTTTTTTACGCCGGCTTTTTCTCTCGGCCTACACCCTCTGTCTTCTTTGCCGATGAGTAGTGATGCCTACAAATTCAAATTTAATGACGTGGAATAAGTGATACATGTATCTTATGTTCCATAATAAACATTTTTTATTTTATTAATTAATGAAAAGTTAGTATAGTTGTAGTTAGTAAAGTTAGAAAAGTTGTATCATCTTGTGACACCCTCACAATTCTATACATTTTAAGTACATCTGCTGTAAGGCAAATTTTATAAAGCCTCCATCTCATCAATATGTGGCGCAAATGTTGCTGCAACTTAGGACCAATATATAAATCATCATTTAAAGAAACGTTATTGACTCCTTTACACGAAGCGTCAAAGACTACACGAAGTTTCGTCGTCTCCTTATCTTCTCGAAGAACCGCGTGGTGCGGGAGATAGACTGTAGTTGGACTATCAATTTCTTTATGGCTAATTTCAACCATATGATTTAAATTTAAATATTCGTTTATGACCTTATGGTATTCTTCTTTTAGTTTCTGGTTTCTTGATAATTTTTTCTCTAATATTTCAAACCTCTTAGCAGCAATTTCTTTAAGATTTCCTTGCCTACACTGTGGACTTCCAGTCTTAAATGGTAGTTTAACTACAAATCTTCCTTCTTTATCTCTTATAGTTGTACTGTCATAAAAATTTTCACAAAATTCCTCTTCTTCTGATAGTCTCTTTACTATAGTATTTGGTTCGTTCTCGATTTCCCAAAATTACTTGAGCATCTCGTCTTCTTTAAGTTGAATATGTAAACTTGCAACACTTGTGTCCGAAGAACCCGTTTCTTGAGGCAGCTTTTCTGATAGCACCCAACCTAGGCATGTTCTCTGTGCTAGTAAGTTGCCCTTAGGATGTTTGATTATACCATTGTTATAGAATTAAGCTTACCTTTAGTTTGTTCAGTCATGGTACCTGTCAACGTGGATTCCCCTTCACTCGTAGTCACTGTCTTTCGATCTCTCTCGTAGTGTAGCAATGAATGATGACGACGCCCACATTTTCTGCAACTCGTTGGCTGACGACATCTGATTACTGAATGTTACGGGGCAAGACAATTGCTGCTGCTGGACGAACTCTTGCTTTTCTTTTGTAGACATGTCTACGAACTCTTTACAATAATAGTTGTAGTGTTTACCACTGCATAACACACATTTCACTTCCTGCTTTTTCACATCCTTGTGTATACCTGAATGAAAGGACTTAGGTTTAGCAATAGGTGTAGCAACAGGCTTAGGGTATGGTGATTTTACTCTGTGACTGTCTATCATTTCTAACGATCGAAATCTAGCTTCTAGAAAATCCCGCAGTTCTGTCCACTCATAATACTCAAACTAAGTTGTTGTTCCCATATCTTTATTGATTCATGGTCCATCTTTGATATTACTAAATAGTTAATAATTATATCCCAAGTGTCGGTTTTCACACCGAGATTTTGCAATGTTTTTAAGCATACTGACGTAGTGTTTAGCAATTGTTTGATTGAACTCGATGTCTCCGTACATGTAACCTTCTGTGTAAATAATGTTCTTAAAATTGCAAAGCAATTCAACCGTTTATTAATATAACGTTTCTCTAACTGGTTCCACGCCTCATCGTAGTTTGCGTCCGTAGTCGAATAGTTGCGTATTAATAGTTCTGGATCACCCGATAAATTACTTTTTAGATAATGTAGGTTTTGCACCGGTGTTAAAGACTTGTTGTTATGAATCAAGGAGCAAAATAAGTCATAAAAAGTTGTCCATTCTTCATATTTACCTCCAAACTTCGGTATTTGTATTGACGGTAATTTAATATTATTGAATAACCTCTGTTCGGCGCCACCCGCTATTGAGGTATGTGATAAAGGAGACTGTTTGGTTAAGTGTTGAAAGTCCTCCTTTATTGTGGACTTGTACTGAATATATAACTCATCAAAAATATCACAAAAGTTTCCTTTAAAATAAGTACTTTCCTTTTCTTCGTCTTTAGATATTTTTAAAATTAAACTTTTGAGTCCTTCCTTAAAGTCCCGCCATAATTGTTCTAAAACTTCTAATCGAGTTTCTATATATGGTATTTTTATTCTGTCTTTCGGTGATTTCCTATAATTCTTTTCTGCACTTCTTAATGTCTCCAATAACTTAAAATCTCAAAGAGATCCTCCATCGTACACTATGACCTTGAGCGTAGTTCGTAATTATCCGATTACTCAGACCCACTGAAAAAACTGAACACAGCCCAACGAAAAAGTACTTCACAGTATGGTGTTTTTATAGGTTAAATTCACTTTTATAATGTTATTATAACACTGAAATAAAAAACTGATCACGCAAAAATCCTTATCGCTTAGGAATGCAAGCATCTATTGTTCTCACTGTTCGCCAAGTATCGAACAATAGCGACGTTATCCGGTTCGAAGGACCATATGTTAAGGTATTATAGTTGATAATTGATCGCAAATTAATTGTGGGTATGACACTTTTTATTTAACTGACAAAGAGTATACTGTATACATATTTGGACACCTACTACATACTTAATGATGTTTCATTCATTGTAGAAGTTGATGGTGTTTAACCTTGTCGAAGTTGCGTGTAGACGCCAACTTCATCCATTGGGCTATGGTAGAGGGCTCCAGAGAAATAATTGTTTTAATACAATTATTTCACAATCGTTGTTTGTAATTCTTCCAAGAAAGATATTAGAGCGACTCATGGCCATGTGTAATACCTTTTCAGAATTAATATTAAATGCGCCAAAACTTGTAATACAGGGTTACTTTTCGGTATACCTACCAATAATGATGAATTGAATCTGGATGATACTACGTATTTCTTACAATCACCATGGATTCAAAACTTCAGTAGTCCCCTCATATTAACGGATTGGTGAAGCGACTTAGTTCTGCAGCTTGCGCGGTTAAAAAAATTCGCT